CAAGCAACATTGGCCCTTTAGAAGTGAAAGCTTAGAGATTTGATTCTAAACATTAGAGATTCCCAGCTCTCCCTGCCCCAGTTCTGGTTCTCAGTAGCCTCCTTATGAGGTAGGAAAGCAGGCGCTTTCTTCTGTGGAAGAGTGACTAAGCAAGCAGTAGGCTGAAAACTGAGCACAAACCATCAAACAGTAGAGTTCAAGAAGCCTACTTGAGAAAATGAATGCTATTCTAGAACATTGACAGAAGTGGGAGCAGAGAGGACAGATAAGATGCCCAAAAAGCAGTAACAAGGGCAGTTTGGTCTTAGAATCCATTTAAAAATACTGAAAGAAAGGGAAGTTATCTGTCCCACCATGGGCAGGACGGCATTTCTTTTAACAGAAATCTGAGTGAGACAGCTTCCAGCTGGAGTATCAACCTACTCAGATTTCCAAGTCAAGACCCAGAGTGGCAGTGGCTCTTTGGAAGAGCTCCACCATACGCAACACCTCGTTGAGATTTATTAGAGGACAAATCCTGAGATTCGATGAACTGAAATCCAAGCGTCAGTCACACTGAAAGCCCACACAAGTGAAACAGGTATCATGACGCACTGTTGGGGATGAGACCTTCAGCGTCCAGTCTCTTCTGTCACTAATTTTAAAGCTTTCAACTGGTATTCCTTGCAACTTGCCCCTAGACAGCCAACTTTAAAACATGAATTATCGTATTTGCTGACATTATTGATATTAGAATCATCACTGATCTTACGAGAACAGCCTCTTTTCTCTCTGGTACTTACTTACCTTGATGATCTGTTTCTCCTACCTCGGGATGTTAGACCCTCACAGTGCTAACAGAGAGGCTTCTCCATGATCCATACGCTGGCCTGAGTAACCCCCACCCAGAGCAGCACCCACGTCCCTGCTGGGCCCTTCTCCCTGCACGGAGCAAGAGCAGCCCCCTCTGTTCCTCTCCCCATAAAGCAGGGACGATCTCTTCCTCTCACGCATAAGGATACAGAATCCATATTCCATAAGCAAGGAAAAAACCACACAGAAGGCAAGTGCTTTCTCTGTTCAAGCCACCTGCATGATGCCAGCAAGGCAGGATACTACAATAGTTGTGTTATTTAACTCTCTCCAAGCCAGGAATCCCGCACTAACCACAATATCGTCATCCACTTTCAGAGAAACAGGTCTGAAGGACTGGGGGAGCCTGGGTTTCCATCACTGTGACAGCACTGCCACTTTAGATGCCACACACATATAGATTCTTAGAAATACAGTGAAGGGCAGGACAAATATCCCTGGGGTCCTACTGCAGACACCTGCAATTGAATCCTCTTAAACCAGAAGATGGAAGTTGTGCTGCTGATCTAAATTAGTAGTTGCTCCTAGGCCGAGTCAGCCTGCGCACCAAGTTGTGAAAACACCCTCTAAAGTCTGGGGGCGGGGGGGGAGGGAGGGTTGTTAGCTCCATTATGCTGCACAGCAAGTAAACAAACATGTTTGAACTTAAGGTTTTCAGTTCAGATGAAGCTAAGAAACCTCAGAAGCTGACACTGGAGAAGGGCCTCACCAGAATGAGGATAAAGAACAGTAATTCTCACGATGTTGAAATTATTACACCTCTATTTCAACAACAACAACAAAAAAAATCACAGGCTACTTTCACAAGAACTAAGGTATCTGAAGTCTTACAGTATCACCAGGAAGTGATGGAGCCTAAAAACGAAAATGCAAAGCGACTTCTGAAGAACACCGCAACGGCTTCACGAGAAGGATTTCAGAAGTCCAGCGCACCTTTGACTCACACGCGCCTGCATAGTTACAAAACAAGCCCAACTAACAGCTCAATACTGTTAAATAAGAATTCCCTTCATTTTACCTACATTAACCTAAACTGCATCTGAACTCTGCTACCATTATCTGAACTGTGCTACTCTACTCACTGAATGGAAAAGCACAGCTGAGGCACCTATACACCCGTATCTCTAGGCACCACTTAGTATTTTCTTATCTAGCACAATGTAAGATATGTCCCAGAGAAAAGGAGATAAGCATATCCTGCAACACAAGACATATCTGTTTTCCTGAGCGCATACTGTGAAAACACACACTTTGCTATGAAAGGGGCAATCCATCACACACCGAGATTATATTATTGTATCAACCAAGGCAGTAGGACAGCAGTAGCAAACTCAAGCATCTGTTTGAACTTCACACTGCTGCGAGTGCAACATGTCCTAAGTGAGATAAAGACACAATGCTGCCAGAGTGGAAAGCACAGACGAAATCAATGTGTCAGGGGTCTCAAAAAGCAGTCTCCAACCTTCTGCAACTAAATGGAAATATGGGACACGCACACACCCTTCCAGCATCTGTTAGCCCCACACTAAGCTGGAAGAGCCTGAACATGGAAGCAACCTGCATTTTAGCATACTGCAAGGAGACGGTTTTGCACTCCAAACAGTGAATCACTCTATTAGTGGCAGTGCACCAAGAACCTAAGCAGCTCTAGCAACTCTCACAGAAGTTTAAAGGAGCCCTTTATTTAGTCAACCTGTTCTATTATATGATGTTATAGAATGCTCAAGTTCTAAACATTAGTCTTCTGAAGCAAGTACTATCACAAATTTCTTAATTAATCAAATACATTAAAAAAACCTGGAGTCTCTGGAATTTTCTTAGGCCTGAAATATTTAACATCTTCAAAATATTCACAGAAAAAAAAGTCTGTAATTTACAGGCATACCCACAGGTGCTACCTCCAAGGATAAACAGAGACAAAGGAGTTAGCCAAGAACAACATAAGAGTTAAGGAATTTTTCCTATGCTTTTGTCATGAGTCATGGAGATCTAGGATTAATTATAGCCTGCACTGAAAGTATCTTAAAAAAAAAAAAAATCACTGATTTCAGTTAGACAGTATATCATGTCTAACAAGTTTTCACAATGATGCTGAAGTATTCATACAGCATCAGTAAAGCTATAAGACAATAAGGTCAGACAGAAACTACTAGGACACAGGTATGTTACAAGGACCTATTTAGTCAGCTTTTAAACTTAGAAACTCCTTTTAATCTTTAACCCTGAATGATACAGATTGTAGCAGAGTGAAGTAGATGCCAAGGAAAAAAAACAAACCCAAACAAAACTGTTCTGAACTTCCTCAAACATTTAACCCATTTCCTGCTTCAGCTGACTCACATTGGGACTTATTCACAAAGCCCTTCCAGCATCAGAAAAAGCAGAACTCAAAACAAGTGACAACGGTTCTACACCAGGTTTTTGACAGTTCTCCAAATATCAGTGTCCCTAAAAACATGACCCGGGGTTCAACAGAAAAGCCTGGAGATCCTGAAAATGGTATGTTAAATTAGGCTTAGGATAGTCAGATTTAATGATTACAAGCAAGCCCCTACAAGCCAATTTGTATGTTTCTGTAAATCAACATAGCAATCTAAATCTACAACACTTGCTTGGAGTAGGAAAAAAAATTTTAAGAAATTATTTACGTAAGTCCTGGATGCAGCCTATGTATGCGCGCTGAGGTGAACACACACCTGTGTCCCTTCTCCACCCCCAGGCCCACACCTGTTACAGAGCCCACCACAGTGACACACCAAGGCTGTGTCAAGCTGCAGCAGTTTACCTCAAGAAAGCCAAACACCGGGCCCGCACACAGCCGCACTTACCGTCCTCGAAAGGCGTCCCCTCGGGCCTAGAGGAGGGAAGAAACAGAGCACAGCGTTACCCTCGGGCAGCCCAGCTCTGACCCTCCTCCCCAGGCGGCAGAGCGGCAGCGGCCCCCACGGCCTGCCGCCCCCAGTCCCCCG